GAGAAAGTGAGAGGGCGATATAGTGAGAGGGCTATATAGTGAGAGGGTGATAGAGTGAGAGGGTGATAGAGTGAGAGGGTGAGAAAGTGAGAGGGCGATATAGTGAGAGGGCTATATAGTGAGAGGGTGATAGAGTGAGAGGGCGATAGAGTGAGAGGGTGATAGAGTGAGAGGGTGAGAAAGTGAGAGGGCGATAGAGTGAGAGGGTGATAGAGTGATAGAGTGAGAGGGTGAGAGCACATTGCATGCACCAACTGGCTTCTCTTTCTGCACCTCTTCTTCTTCTTCTTCTTGTGAGCAAAATCTGAAATCTCTGAAACATTTAAAATATGAAGATTTCCCACTGATGGAAATTAACTTATTTATGCTGTTTAAATTAAGCTGATATTCTCAGGACCTAAATGTGCCTCTTCATGCACTTTGAATTATTTGTTTGTACATATATTGGTATAATAAAAAAAGTGTATTAAAAACTTTAGACTTCCATGAACATGTCGGTGATGAAGGCAGGAAAAATGATGGAGTTTAAAGAGGATAAATACTTTCAGCAGTTCAATGGGTGGAAGAAGTTAGACCATTAAAATCTATCATTTGTTCAGATTCCAGTTCATCATTAGTCTGTTAAAATAATCAGTCAGACAGCAGGACAGATATATTCATTACAGAATAAATACGATGGTAGAACATTCTGATTGGGTTCCGGCGCATAACGAGATGAAGGGAAATGAAACAGGATGGCGAAGGAGAGAACAGGTCAGGATAGATATTCATGTTAGGATAACAGAGATAAAGGGTAAAATAAAAAAACAAAAGAGAGACGTTAAAGGGAAGAAGAAGAGAAAGAAAGGTGGTTCAATAAAATCCAAAAGGTAATTAGACAAATGAGAGGAAGAGAGATTTATTATTTATTTATTATTTAGACTCAGAGCCTCTGATTGAACAGCTGATTATTTTTAACAGGCAAACATCAAAGGGAACTGAGAGGCGGTGGAAGATTTTAGGAAACATTTGATTCAGAGAAACAAGTTAATTAGTTGCTCAGTGATATAAAATAAAAGCTGACATTATTGAATCAGAGGAAATCAGCTTAGAGTTTTTAAAACAGATTGAATTGTTTAACAGGATGTAGTTATTTTATTTGTTGCCATGTGATTCACCCTACTCACCAGCTGGTGGCGGTAAGCCTCACCTAACGATTTTGAAAAACATGTTGGTGACGTCATCTACCTGCGCCGGAAACAGCATAAACCCGCCATCAGCTCCATCCATCCAGCTGCGCTGAAAGTCTGACTGTTTTAGATCTTTCTAGATCCTGAATTTATCGCAGCTTTATGTGACAGAAGGAGGCTAACAGGAGCTAGCTGTGTTAGCCACCGTTCTTCATTTCGTCACTTCCTGCTGTTGAAACCCGCGGCGGCAGAAGAAGAAGCCTCAGATGGATCTTCCAGGTGAATTCCTGCTGTTCTCTGCTAACTGCTGCTAGTTTCCTCTGATGAGCAGGAAGGTTCTGTTTTTATTTACCAAAGCTGCTTATAAACTTTATAAGAAATATAGAAAATCTAGAAAAGCTTAAATAAAGAGTGTACCTCAGCAGAACAGTTTCAGGCAGCAGGTCACATGACCTGGAAACAATAAATTTCCAATAAATTGAGCTGCGCCTCCTCCCAGCTCAATGCTGCTCCTCCTCTCTTCCAGTGGGATCTGAACCGATGACTCTGGGCTCCCCCACCTCCCCTAAACCCACCTCTGGAGCTCAGTTCCTTCC